ATATATATATATATATATATATATATATATATATATATATATATATATATATATCTGTCTGTCTCATCACGCTCAAACTGAACTCTCAGCTCTCAGTTCCTCTGCTGCCTCAGCGGTTGACCACGCCATTAACGTTCCACAAAAAGTTGCAACAAACTGCGAGCCACATTGCACCCAGCCGTGTACGAAATGCATTCAACACTCTAATAAATGTGTATGCGTGTATATGTGTGTGTATGTGTGTCTGTGTATGTGTATTGCAGCCAACTTTAAGTAAATATTTTGAAATTGGCCATGTCCTGGGCTGACCACAGCCCAACGGGTTCCACGCGAGTTCTGTCAACAGTTGTGCCGGAGCTAAGTGAAAGATGCCATTACAGTCACTTCCTTCCGGGCTTTGGCTTCCTTATTCCTGCCAATTTCTGCTGATACGAGATATGAAAAATGTACGTGGCAGAAGACTATAGAGTTGAGCTGATATTAAAAAATGTTTGGAAAAATCAAATTTAAATAAATTTGTCTTTGAATTCAGATTTAGCATTTCATTTATTTCTGCTATCAAATATTTTTGATCATTAATAAAATATATTTATATTATTAAAGAAAAGTTATTAAAATTTATTTTATTTTAATATTATTTATTTATAATACATATGGTATATAACATAAATATATATCTTTAAACAGTCCATGCCAAAGTATAATTTTAGGTAAATTTCTACTTTTTATATAATAAATAAATGTTTTAATTATTAAATTTAAATTATATAATATTAACTAGCATAGTATTGGATGCGAAATAACACGAAAGTTACTCTGATTTTGAGCTGAAATCAAAATGTTTAATTTCGTATCATATGGATATAAATAGGTTAATGTTAACAACAGCTTAGATACTTATTACACCATCCTTAAATTCTTATTACACCATCCTATAATCTGTGGAGTTCTATGATCATATAAACAAAGATATGTTAGCCCGATGGTATTATTCAAATAGACATAATAATGTTAAATGAGTTGGGCTGCAGTTTTGTTAAATACTGGGATAAACCTGGCTACCCTGCCCATAGTGCTCGCCAGCTGTTGCAGCGCCCTCCTCTCATCGTCTTCCAATGGCCAAAACTTTTACTGTGCGAATTCAAAACCAGCCGCTACAAAATGCTGTTCAACTTTTCGAGCGAAAACAAATAATTTTACTAACTAAGTACAACATGTTAGAGTATGTATATAAATATATATGTTTATGGGCATGGCTATATACATATTGCGTGTGGAGGGGTCAAACAAATGCAGTTGCTGAAAGTTCGTAAAAAAGTTTTACCCCATTTTATTTTATTTATTTATTTTTTTATATTTTTTGCCGGCTTCACTCTGCAGTTCGTTAGCTGTTTTGTTGCATTGTATTTTGTTTGGCCAAGCAAAAAGCGTGTGTTTATTATTTAATCAACACATTGTTAATTCCACTGGATTTTCTTGCTCCTCTCATTACAGCCGTGCGACGGGCCAAATTTGTGGCGCAGCCGCTGGCACCAGAAGTCAATGCGCTGCTGTGTGGGGGATCGAGTGATTTATCCTGCAGGCATGATTCATTGTCGCATGCATTATCTGGAGCAGCTGCAACAACAGCAGCATCAGAGGCAGCAACAGCAACAGCATCAACAGGCGGTGCATTGTTAACCTACACGGCAGCAACAAGCAGCCCGCAACTGTCAGGCGGCATTAAGCCAACAGCAGCAGCAAATGCAACAATGCCCGATAACAGTTTTATGGCCGCAGGTGTCTATTGCGCTGGAGTCAATGCAACAGCAGCAACGGCAACAGCAACAACATCTCCAGGAATAGCAGCGATAGCAACAACAGCAACATCAACGACAGCAACAACTACAACAGCAGCAGCATTGTCGGCGCTGCTGAGCTCGGCTGGCAATGTGGACATTATGGAGGACGAAGATGAGCTGGAGCGAGAACGTTCCAGGTATGCATGTGTGTGTGTGTTTGTCTATGCCGTTCAAGAAGCAAAGTTGCGTTCACAAATTAGGCTATGGGGCATGTTGTTGGTCGTGTTAAGTAGAGACGTTTCAATTGGTCTGTTGATGTTGGCGGTAGACCCTAATGGTTGCAGTCGTTACCACCTTCGAGTCATAGTTAGGCAACGACTGCTACAATAGAGCTGTGCTACGAGTTGTGTTTGAGAATTTGTAATGCGTTTCATCAGAATTTCGAAGTAATTTAAAAACTATTGCAAGACTCTGCCTTTTTATACCCTGAACCCATTGAAAATGGGAAATCAGGGAATAATGGTTTTGTT